AATGGGAGGTAAATTTGTTTTAAATAGATTGTAACTTTGAAGGATCCTGACTCAAATGAGCTTAGTGGGACAGCAGAAGCTCATTTGAGCCTTAAATGAAATTTGGAGTGAGTTTTTGCACAGAAAGTTGTGTATTTTGACCCTCATTTTCTGCAGTGTAGTCATGTTCTGGGTGGAACCATTTAGGGTCACTGTGGAGAGTAGAAGTGACAACAACTAATACCTATTCTCACAGACATAGGAACACATCAATATTGTTTTAACACCAATTTGAAAAATCCCTAACTGTTCCTTTAACTACAAAAAACACACAACAATCCTAATTATTCCTAATTATAGCACATAGTACATTGCTCCAAACTCTGAACAAAAGCACTTTTTAAGTTCACTTAACCAAGTTTATTTACAGTACAAGTTCATATTTTCTTCATAGGTTTGCAACCATGCAGATGTTTTGGTCTTAATCGACCAGGTTTTAAGATATGTGTCAGATTTCTTCCCCTAACCAACATGACATACTGTAAATGGAATTTAGTTGGTTACTCAACAGTGATATGACTTTCTAGGATCTTTCCAGTTAGCCAGATGAGATGTACAATATAATCTCTCCAGGATGTTATGGGTCTGCCCAAGGGTCTCCTACCAGTTGGATGTGTCCAGAAGACCAAAGGGAGGCACCCTGGAGTCATCCTGATAAGATGCCCAAACCACCTCAACTGGCTTCTTTCAATGTGAAGGGGCAGCAGTTGGGTTTTTCCTTATAATAGGTCTAGACCTGATACAAATATACTGAATTGACCTGAACTGAACTGAGAAGAAGTGGTTGAAATAATGATAAAATGATCAGGTCTTAGTGTGTCGGCATCATCTCTTCAATAAATGCAGTGTTAAACTACAAAGTGTTGTGATGCACCTGCAAAATGTTGCTGAAATAGATGAAAAATGACCAGAAATTGTCAGGTTTGCTCGGCTGCACCTGCCTCTCTCACCTCCCTTTCTTTGTTTTTCGGTCCCTGATCACGTCACCTTGTACACCTGCCACTTGTTTCCTTAATTTGACACCAGCTGCTTTTACTCAGTCCTTCACCTTATTTATACCCAACTCACTTTTCACTCCCTTGCTAGTTTGTTCTTGCTTTCTGCTCAACTACCAGCGCTATTCCTCTCTTCCTATCATCAGTTTTGTTTGTATTCAGTCTGGTTGCCCTGACTTTTCTCCTCGGTCATTCTCCACGGACAGTTACTCCGGACTATTATCCTCACCACTCTTCCAGCCTCCACCAGCCAGGTCAGTACACAGTCATCAGACTCCATCTAGTCACATCTCTGTCTACTCTGTTCTCCCCAGCCATCTATCACCCACCAGCCAGACCGGGGGTGACCCTAGTGTCTGTAGCTCAGCCTTCCTCATCATATCCACCCTTCATCTGTTGTTTTTCCTGCTAGCTGATCATCACCCAGTCCTACATTACATCACTTTTATACATCAACCTTTACACATCACTGTTTTATATTGTACAGCACTATTAAATTGCTTGCACTGAAGTCAGCCCTCTGGGTGTGTGTCTTTCTTCGCTCACTCACCCTCCGACGAGTGAGTGAATCTAACAGAAATTGATCAGGCTTCAAGTCAGATAGAGCTCCAGTTAAAAGATTAATGGACTGCACCAAATCCCAGCCCTGTAGATTCACTGGGGACATCACTGATGTAAGCATACTGACAAGCAGAAAATTAACTCCTTTGTAAACTTTGCAGTTAAGACATTTTTATTGTTTTTTTAAATGTGCTTTTTAAAAATTTTGTTATCTACATTTAATGCAGTCAGTGTGTGAAATGGTTAGCTTGTTTACATAAGATAAATCATGACAAATACAAAAAAGTGTCTTGTATCAGTTTAATGAAGAAAGTGCTTTTATTGTCATTGAAACAAACTCTGTTCTCAAAAATGCTAATCTGCTTTTCCATTCTAGTTTTGGTCTCTTTGACATTAAAATAGGTTTAAATAAACTTTTACAACACACCCAAGTTGTACATCTGGGAAAGCTCTAATAAAACAGTTTCTTTGCAAATACAGCATTGTCGTGTTAAATAAAGTCCAGCTCAAAAATGAAAAGCATAGACTAGACAAACTGAGTACATGAATTTAATAAATTATACAGTACATCCTGAGTGTTTCCATTAATTACAGTTAGTTGAGCAAACTAATATATAATCCAAGACCCAGTGCTGGAATGAGTTTTAAAGAACGGTTAATAAAACTGATGACAGAATGAATACCTTTTAACTGACTGAAATCGTTACATGGCTGAGGAAAAGGAGGTGAGAGCAAAGCAGAAACAGGTGCAGCACTTAGAGTAATATCTGACCTTAACCAAATTTAAGAATAATTGAGAGCACTCAGAAAGGATAGCTGTATTGCAACGGTCAGCTGCAGTGACACAGACCTGAGAATGTGATTACATTTGCTTTGGTAGCCTCAGAGTGCAAATGTTTTTAAATGCTTGATCACAGTTTTTGACCTCTCCAGAAAGATATTTTAGAGAAGCAAAATGGACCATTAGTAGGTAAAAGAAACATGGAGATACATCAGAACTCTAAAAGCACTAACTGTACCAGAGCTGAGTGGAGATATTTCACTTCCAATTCTACGTTATTGCTTTGGCTGTCAATCAAGTCTTGACTTTTGTTATGAACCTATGTACTGCTAGATGATAAAATGTCCCAATATCTGATTGTGTCTTCTGACATGTTACACTGATAATCTCTAACAAGTTATATAAGAAATAGCCAGGGGCTAAAATGTAATGTAATGAAATCTTACTCACTGACCAAGTAAGTCCAGTATGAATATGCTCCATCAACATTATTTCTTTGTGCATCATTAAATTGAGCTTAATTTGCAATGAAAATCAGTCATTCTTTAATTTCCCAGCTATGAAATCCTGACAGCTGGAGAACAAAGTTGGGAATTCTCTGCCTGGCCACAGGGGGATCATAAATAGTCTTTAACAGCTTCAGCTGTTGTATGCTGGTTAGCGGAGTAAGTGTGTTTCTACAATAGATAGCTTAGATATTAATAAAGAAATTTGCCAAATAGTTGGTGCCAGAGAGAAGGACAAACAGGCACTTATTTATGTGTGCCTGGACATGCTGGTAAAGCTGTAGGGTTTGCTTTGAAAAACAGATGCTTATTACTGTGCAGCACAACACCAGACACAACACAAATTTCATCTGCTTTAATTCCCTGAAATCCCAGTTCCCTAAAATTACATTGCAGGTTAGGTTCATTAGCAACTCTAAATTCCCTGAAGATGTGAATGTGAGGGTGTGTGTGTCATCCTGCAGCTACACCAGGTGAGCTCCACCCTGAGGAGGATCGACACCAACAAAGCCAAAGGTTTTGAAGCTATGTGCTGACCAAATGACAGGAGTTTTCTTGGGCATTTTTAACCTGTCCCTGCATTTTGCTTCAGTCCCTGTGTACCTCAAATCCTTCATCATTGTGCCTGTGCCCAAGAAATCAGCTGTCATCTGCCTCAATGATTACCACCCTGTTGCTCTGACACCAGTAATCATGAAGTGCTTTGAGAGGTTCGTCCTAAAGTGCATCAAGGACGTCATCCCTGTTGGTCTGGATAGCCATCAGTTCGCCTACAGAGAGAGAACCGATCAACAGAGGATGCTGTCTCAATAGCACTACACACAGCCCTGTCCCACCTGGAGCACCCTAACACTTATGTAAGGATGCTATTTGTTGACTTCAGTTCGGCATTTAACACTGTTAAACCCAGACAAACTGGCAGTGAAACTGCAAAATCTGGGAATGCCTGCAATGATGGGTCATTGGATTAAAGACTTTCTCACTAACAGGCCTCAGGTGGTGAGAATCGGAAGCTGCACATCATTCACAAAGATTCATTGTGCTATGCACAATGACGCTAAGATTCTTGAATGGTTGTCTGTCAGTGCCAGCCCTGGGATAGACTGGCAACCTGTACAGGGTTGACCCCGCCTCTCACTCAATGACAGCTGGGATTGCTCCCCGCTGTGATCCTCTAAAGAAAAAGCGCATATAGCTAATGGATGGATAATTCATCATTTTAAAAAATGCATCCAGTCCAAGTAACTGAGAATCAACTAATTCACTTTGTTTGCCTGGTCTCTTTCAGCAAATGTTAAGGGAGAACTTAAGAACTGATTCAAACATCAGCTGGTGAACTATGTTGGAATCAGAATTCTTTCCTAAAATCAGAAACTTTTTTAAATTACTTTGATCTTTAGGCTTTTGACCATCTTTTTTCAATTATCTCTGCTAATCTCAGAGAAATCTAACTAAATATTTGGTGGATATAGACATTTGGTAGCATGGGCACACTTGCAAGAGCATATGACTGGTTTTTCAGCTTGTGCATTTGGGGTGAAAGCAGGTTTGAGGTTCTAATTTAATGATGGTGATGATAACTTACATCTGTTCAGAGTTTTGACATTTATAAAACTAAATAGTTCCACTCAATTTTCTTGGTCACCTTGAACCTTAAAATAACCTTGATGTTTACAAAAGTGAGGACCAACAAAATATCTTGTTTTTCTAACTATTCTCTCCATGCTCTGGTATTTGGTCATCATAATGACAGACATGACCTCATGTTCACATAGGCTTTATCAAAAATACCTCAGCTCAACAGAAAAACACAATCTTGGGAAAATAATTGCCCTGACACATTGATACGCAACAAGACTGAAAAGGTGGAGGGAACAGTGAGCTGCAATCAGTCAGTTAGTGAAAAAGTGTCAGCTGTATTGGGAAGGGCGATGAAGTTTCGTCAGAATGAGAAATTAAAACTATTGCCAATGGCAAGGTAGCCTGATATTATCTTAAATTTGTAATCAGCTCTGACTTCAGGATCAAACACCCAGTGCAGTTAGTGTATGAAGAAAATTCAGTATTTTTTGGTAACCTTCCATACATCAGAATTCTGCATACTGTTTTGAGGCTCACCTGGAACAAAGCTCCCCTGCACCACCTCCTTGTACGCCCACCATCCTTCATGAATTTTCGGCTGATTCGGCTGTGCTGTAAGGTAAGAAGAAACACAAAAACAGGGACATCAATCACTTAGATCTGAAGTTCAGACAAGAAAGCAAAAACACAGTCCTGCTGTGTCCAGATAATCTCCAGCTGAAACACTGCAGTCTTTATAAGGATAGTCACCATTATTTGGCCAAGTATGTTACACACAAGGAATATGTTTCCAGTACAGAACCAGGGCAGCCATCTGCGGCGCCAACTCACACCGATGGTTCTAACCATTGGGGGCAACTTGGGGGTTCAGTGTCTTGCCCAAGGACACTTTGGCATGTGGACTGCAGACACCATGATTTGAACCTCCAACCCTCCGGTTGGGAGACGACTGCTCTACCCACTGAACCACAGTCTTTTCTGCTTTCACTGTTTTAAGATGGCTCACCAACTTTCTCAGTAAGATGCCTTGGCAAATAGAGTCTCAGGAGATGTCCTTGGAGCCAAAAGGCCTCCAACTGGAATTCAACTTCTCATTTCTGTTCAAATGATGGCACACACATGCAAACTCGTGTGATGCTGTGACTCCCTGTGCATTAGTATGGTATGAGATGTGGAAGGTCAGCCAGATTAGAGCAGGGTGGTGAAGTATAATTGAGGTGAGTAAGTAAAGGTCTCACTACCAAGAGAGATCTGTGACTGAGAATTACCCACTGAGTCTTCAGGATATTGCTTTTACACCTCAACTTTTTTTTCCTGTTCATTAACCAAACATGCAAAACAGGGCATAATCAAGGGTCTATGCGTTGCCCTGCTCACTTGTCTTTAATGGAAGTTGAGATGGACCAACAACTGTTCCCTCTGCTATTCTTTCCAAACAGCCTTGCTGCAATAACACTGGAGAACTGGTTCAGTTTGAAAGGGGTGGGCCAGCTGGACATGGCACAGAAGCAGCTATTTTTTCTGAGGGCTTTCGCCACTGCCATATGCTGAAAAGAAAGGAAAAAAAAATGGATTCATTTGTCGACTTGTTACTCAAAATGATAAATTGTTTCTCCCCTTTCAATGGTAAACAAACTTGATGTAAACACAACTTTTTGATTGGAGTACGCTTTGGCCAGCCAAGCAACAATAAGTTTCCAAACTATTAGAGGCAGGCTGAACCATGGCAAAGCTTATACTTAAAGCCCAACACAATTTCATTCATGATGTTTTTTTATGTAGTCAGTTTTCCCAGAAAGCAGAAGACTGATCAAAAAAGAAAAAAAAGTGCTTTATGTCATTACAGTTCCTTTTCCAATACATTTTTATCTGCTTTGAATGAAATAGCAGAATATAATTACATATTAAAATTGCAATGTGTAGCACTTCAGACATCAGGCCACTGTAAAATTTATCATAAAAATATACCTTGCCTGAAATGACTGAAGCCTGTAGATCTATCCCCAGTGGGATTATAAGTAATGTTGTTTGCAATAAAACACTC